GGAATAAACCTTCAAAATTCAAATTTGAAGGAATTTTTACTAGTACATTGAGCTGTAAATGTTAAGGAAACGGTCCAGAACGCTTTCGTGAAAGGTGCCACTGCTGTATTACCAGTTCGCTCATGTTTCGCTACGAGATATTTTTAAGGGTTACGTGAACCAACATTTGAGTGTGTTCCTGTTTGCAAAATCACGTGCGATGTCCACCACTGGGATGATTAGACTACGAGAAATGCCAGGCACTAATCTGAAATATTCAATGATGTTCTTTCTGTGTTGGTCGTTATGTGTAATATGTTGTACACGCTTGAACGAACACAGGGCTATTTGAACGTCTTCAGTTACTCTCTAGCTTTAAGCATTTGTGGTTTACTTTCGGAAAAGTGAAGGATTTTGAAGAATGAAAAGAATTCTGTTGGTTTTTTTTTTTTGTTTAGGGCATTATTTCTAAGCGTTCAATGGAGCACATCTCCAAATACTAACGTGGATAAACGGGTGAGAATATTGTCCTCGAACTCACCTCTGCTCTCTATCTTACCAGATTGCAATAATTGAGTAACTTAAAGTGGTATCTCGCAAACTTACCATGTCTAAGTATACTTTTCGTTCAACGTTGTTTCTTTATAAATCACGGTTATCGTGCGATTTGTACAAAACATACGGAAAGTAGCGGCTTTGAAATCTACTGATGAGTTGTTTCAGATCATCGTTTGTTAACAAGATAAAGAAGTTACACTAGCTATCTGATGCATTCTTAGAATACCCAGAAGTTTTCCAATTCTTCGACTCTAGACCATGAAAAATTCGCCAGTCGCGTTTTGCGTACATTTGGATCAATACTACTCTATACGAACTGTAATGAATTAGAGGCTACTAGACTTTCAAAGCTTTTTATTTTTCTAATGCAAAAAGTAAACCTTTTCAAATCACATTTTAACTCTTTTTCTCGTCTTCCCAGATTTTCACGACATCTATACGTTAGCCAAAGCATAACGTTAAAACACTGTACTATGTGCAAAAAGTTGTGA